AAAAAAAAAAAAAAAAAAGAAAAAGAAAAGCGCAAAAAAGAAAGGAAAATAATTTTGTCCCGTTGAAAGGAAAAGGACATGGAGCCGTTGGGCATGGCCAGCGAGTCATTGGTGTATTCATGTCCTTGGCTACAGTGGGACCCACCCACCCACGGTGCAGCGCCCACACATACACCCAGATGATTACTCCTCACATGGTTTCGCTGTCCACCGGGGCCCCACCACAGTCCACCCCGAATACCAATGTTTATTAGCTTAGCTGGTTCGGATTGCTTCCAATTTTTATTCAAAATAAAGGGATACTAATAAAGAATTATGTATTTTTTTTAATTTATATTATATTATATTTTTATTTTTTTTTGATACAGAAAAGGAAGCGCTAACACTAACGCTTGATCACGATACTACAGTGGTAGGACACCCCCGCATTATCGTGAGATAACCACCAACTCGCCCCATTCAGAAGCCTCTCAAAACGGTGCAAACCTCCCACTCCTTGAGCCGCTAACGATGCAAGAAAATCTGCGACCAAATTGGTGTCACGATGACTATGAAGTACTAGTAGATTAACATGACACGTCGACTGTATTCGTATCCACATGATTGTACACTATATAACATTGTGCTTATTATTATGTGACACATAATAAATTGGATGACCAGCTCGTTAAAATAATAGTTTTTCTTTATATGATTTTATTCGTTAAATAAATGAATATTTTCCTTAAATATGATTTGGTTATCTGCGGCTGCGGTTGAATTGAGTTGGCATAAGCGCATAGGATAAGAAACATCGCCTTTAAATTTTTATTTTCTGTTTAAATAATAATCTTTATTGTTCAGAAATACCCTTAACCTTATCCATTAATTTCCAAAGGCGCCTCTTTCCATCATCACACTCGCACCCTTAAAAAGCTTCATTCCTCCCACAGTCGCAAAACGCTCGAGCTGGAAAAAAAAAAAAAAATCAGAAAAATAGAGAAAAGAGAGAGAAACAAACAATCTCCACCTTCATTCTACAGAGAAGAAACGCAAGCATGACGAAGGAAGTGAGCGAGGAGGCCGTCCACCAGCGCGGCAAGGACTACGTCGACCCCCCGCCGGCGCCATTCATCGGCGCCGGCGAGCTGAAGCTCTGGTCCTTCTACCGCGCCCTCATCGCCGAGTTCATCGCCACGCTCCTCTTCCTCTACGTCACCGTCGCCACCGTCATCGGCCACGTCAAGCTCAGCGGCGCAGACCAGTGCGGCGGCGTCGGCCTCCTTGGCATCGCCTGGGCCTTTGGTGGCATGATCTTCATCCTCGTCTACTGCACCGCCGGCATCTCCGGTAAACATCAAACTCATCCTCGCGAGCAATTTCTATTTCCCATACAATTTTCTCCTTCCGATTTTCTGATTTTTCGATATTTCAGGCGGACACATAAACCCGGCTGTAACCTTCGGTCTGCTCCTGGCGAGGAAGGTGTCGCTGATCCGCGCGGTGGCGTACATGGTGGCGCAGTGTCTCGGCGCCGTGTGCGGCGTCGGCTTGGTAAAGGCCATCATGAAGAGCCCCTACAACCGCTTCGGCGGCGGCGCCAACTCCGTCTCCCAGGGGTACAACATCGGCACGGCGCTCGGCGCCGAGATAATTGGCACCTTCGTCCTCGTCTACACCGTTTTCTCTGCCACCGATCCTAAGAGGAGCGCGCGTGACTCCCATGTCCCGGTAAGCACCCACGCACGGAGAAAATGCATCCGAAACTAAATCCATTCAGTTTTTAACTATTTTTTTTTTTTCTTGTGCATAGGTTTTGGCCCCACTACCCATTGGATTTGCTGTGTTTGTGGTCCATTTGGCAACAATTCCGATCACCGGAACCGGCATTAATCCGGCTAGGAGCTTCGGAGCAGCGGTTATCTACAACAACGAAAAAGTTTGGGATGACCACGTATGTAATTCTTCAATTTTTTTTTTTTGTTAAAAAACGAAGAAGCGATCGATAAACGAGATGGGTTGCATATTTAATGACATAGTAATGATTTTGAGCTGTTTTTGCAGTGGATTTTCTGGGTCGGACCATTTGTGGGGGCATTGGCAGCAGCAATTTATCATCAGTTTGTTTTGAGGGCCGCAGCTGTTAAGGCGCTGGGGTCGTTCAGAAGCAACCCAACAAACTGAGCTTAATTTGTAATAATTTCTTTCTGAATTTTTTGAATTCAGCTGTGGATCTTTCTTAGTTGATTGCTGTGTTTCTTCTCCATGGATGATGAAGCTTTTGTTTATTGGTTTTTAAATTCTGTGTATTTGGTTAGAATTCAGAAGGACAATATCTGCAATGTTATTTTTTTTAATCTGTGTAATTTGTTGAATCTTTCTTGGTGTTGGTATCATGGCATATTGGCATGGGCTTAGTTAGTGTGCGTTTAATTTGGCCAATGACAAAAGTACTGTTCCTATTGCAGTTTGTGCTGCCTTTCTTTTTTAAACCTAAATTTGCCTTTTGAACTAGGTTATTATTATTAGTAGCTAGGGTAAACAAACCGAGCCAAACTCGAAACTATAAACCTTTTCTATTCGTTAACCAAACGAGTAAGTGAATCTTGGCTTGGGTCGTTTATATATATTAATTAATCTTACTTAAAATGCGAATCGATTTCTTATGAAATCCTTAACTAGGTAGATTATAGAAACTGAGTATGACTGATTGACTATAGTTAACTAACCGAGGTTGAGTTTGAATGAATCCAACGAGTCCGAACGTTTAATGGATATAGTTAGTAGTGATTATTTTATCAAAATTGAAGGAATGAAAATAAAATCAGTTTTTACTAGATTATATCTAGTTTTTTTTTATATATATAAAAACATAAATTGTTAAAACTCGAATTAAAGTGATTGCAATTCTCATGATTGTGGATATTATTAATTAATATTTGAAGAGTGATGAGCCAAATTGATTGTATAAAAAATCATCGATCATGTGCACTTGAAATCAGCAAAAAGAAGACATAATTAATGGCGCATATGTGATGTATAGTGTTTGGTAGGTAACTAACTTTTGTTGTTACCAAAGCCAAAGTCTCGAAAGGAACCAAGTTTTTTTTCTGGGTGGGGGAAAGGAGTGTAATATAAGCTGTTTCTTTCACTTTTTGCTTTCGAGATAAAACAGTAACTAAAAGCAAGATATGAATGGGAAAAAAGAAGAGTCATTGAAAGATGAGTAGCCCACAAAAATTAACTTGTTGATTGTAGTAATTCCCTTTATCGGGATAACTACAGTTCCTTTACGAAATGATTCCGTCAGTGTTTGTCACCGTAGATTATATATACTACATAATCTACACGTGTATCTAACAGTGAAAAACACTGACGAAACCATCTGTAAGGGGAGTGTAGTCATTCCCAATAATTTATTCGACCAAAGCCATATTCAAGGAGTAAAACAAGATATAAATGGGGAAAGAAGAGTCCTTTGAAAGAAAATTAAACCACAAAAATTAATTTGGTCGGTTTGATAATATATTCGACCAAAGCCATATTCAAGGAGGAAAGCATGCAAGATATGAAGTGGGAAAAAAGAGACCACTGAACGAAAACAAAACCACATAATCATTTAACTTGATTGATTGATAATTTATTTGACCAAAGCCATTTTCAAGGAGGGCGGTGGAGTGGTCCTTGCGGACCTGTTCCATTAGGATAAGCTCTTTTTTTCCCCCCAAAAAAAAAAGAAAAAAATATTCCATCCTAAACAAAACAATTTTATTCCAAAAATATGTTTATTTTCATGTCATAGACTATGAACACTTAATTTTTAAAATCGATATTTGACTGTTGAACCAACACAAAAATTCATATGAATATATGTTTTTTGTATATATTGATTACAAAGAGTAAAAAACCGACGACTGCCTAAAGAATCTGAATGCTCCCAAAACCGAACAAAACACCAAGGTCTAGGCCATCAAATCAACTTACCCGCACGTAGGGTTGCACAGTGTTCGGTTAATCGAGCCGAACCGACCGAAACCGAAAAGTTCGGTTTTCGGTTTACATTTTCTTTAAAATTTTGGTTTTCGGTTCGTTTTGGGTAATTGTGATCGGTTAACCGAACCGAAATTCGAGTTATACACATATATATACATGTATTTTATTTATACGTATAAGTTTAACCCGCTTTAATGATTTATGCTTTTCAAGTTTCAATGACCCCCAAAATGGCTCAAGCATTAATTTGCATTCAAGATTGACTTCGTCATAGTCCAAGTCACGGTTCGGGCCCGAGATCTTCATTTGAGGAGAATTTAGAATTTATTGAACAAATTAAATAAAGTGATAAAAAATCGTTTTTCTTTTTGTTCAGGTAAAACATCAATATTTTGTTCGGTTAAGAATTCAAAATTTATTGAGAAGATGAATTATTTAGAAAATTCAGTTTTCAGTTATGATAATAGACAAATCAATTTTTTGGTTAATCGAAAATTCGGTCGGTTCAGTTCGGTTTTGATTGAATGAGCAACCCTACTCGCATGAGTATGAGTATATACTTGTGCATGTGAATTGAAAGCTCAAATTCAATCGAAGTCTCCAAAATATTATAGCTCCATCTCCCTTGTATTAGTAACGAGTATTAATACCTGAAAATGGAAATGGTTCATAACTAAGGCATCTGATATTTGTGGACCATTGATACTCCAAGTAGCTGCAAGCAAGTTGAGTTGCTACTCTGAAGGAAATTGAGTTGCTACTCTGAAGGAAATTGAACTACCGAACGGAACCGAACCAAATCTCAGCAAACTATTAATTATATAAAATCCCATTGAGAAATAACAAAATCCCCACTCATGGAAATTAATCAAACTTGGAAAAAAACCAAGAAATTCAAAACTCATCGTCATCTTCCTCAGCTATAACCTTGGCTAGCTCCTGCTCCTGTTGCTGCCTCTCCCTCCTCTTCTCCGCACTCTCCTTCTCCTTATCCGTATTTGGCGGGAACCTCAGGTCCCGAACGGCCTCATTGTGCATGTTTAGACAAAAGGCAATCCTCGAGTTGAAGGCCGATTGGGGCTCGTTTGTGGAGTAGATATCGCCCGTCTCCTTGGACACCATACACCCGTTAGCTCGGTCGAGAGAAGCCTCGATTGCTCCGTCTCGAATGGCCTTCGAGATGATGCTTTCAGCATCGGCTATGGGGTTGGGTGAGTCGAGCCTCAGCTTTCGGGCAATCTCGGATAATGAGATTTTCGAGTAGGAAATGCTGATGTGGCGGAGGCCCGTGCGGATAACGTTGTGGCGTAGCCGAACGATAAGGTTCTTGGTGCCATCGGATCCGAATGTGGCAGCGAATTTGTTGGCCACGGATTTGAAGAGCTCCAAGTCACCGATACGAACTGCCTGGAGAGCAAATGTTAGGGTAAATGATCGAAAAAAAAAAAAGGATGAAAGAAGTACATAATTACTTTTTATTACACTATACGGTTTCTTGATAAGAA